CATGCTGGCATCCACACCCAGCTGCTTCCGGTCAGGTGTAAAGGTGCGGAGACAAAAGATGACCTTGGCTTCTAGTAAAGAATGAAAAACAATACATTCCACAATCCTACTCTTTTCTGTTCCCCCCTCCCATCAACTACACTAATGAAACAGCATAATGAAATAAGAGAAAGTGTGGTAGGCCAAAGATTCTAACAGGAATATAATTGCAGGCCTGACAACCCCACTTGGAGTGTGTGTTCTGTTAAGATGCAGCTTGTTGTGCCTTAAAATAACTTCTACTGTACTACTGTTAAATGGTTTCTACTGTACAGCACAGTGGAGTTGCCATGGTAACAGTTTCACAGTACTCCACAAGGGGGTTCCCTCTCGTATGGGGGGGGGGGGAATCCAAGATTAGAAATTATGTTTGGTCCAGACATTTTTCCCTTCTAAATAAATACCCAGGCAACGCCAAGTTATCAGCTAATCACGAATAAACCACAGCCGGATATTTCCCCCTCAATACTAAACAATGAATCAGGGCTCACAACCCAGATTTGATGAGGTTTCATCGGGGGAGACTGCTGGATCACCAACCAGCCAATCCCACTTTTGGTTTAATTCTATGAATCTGAATAAAAGACGTTTATTGTGCAAAAGTTGAATTGACAGGAAGGGCAAATCCCGCCTTAAAAATAGCAAGAAAATCTAATGATAATATTTTTCTCTCTCTCCCTTTCTCTGAATTACTGGCACCTTTATAGAGTTTGTAGACTCAGCTGTGTTGTGAGCCTCCAACACCACCAGGTGAAATAGTCTCTGCTTTGTTGTGACGGAGGTCCCTTTAGCAGTAAACAGAGTTGGAAGGAGCCTTGGAGGTCCTCTAGTCCAACCCCCAGCTCCAGAAGGAAAGTCTGTACCATTTCAGACAAATGGCTGTCCGTTCTCTTCTTAAAAACGTCCATTTACAACTTCTGGTGGCAAGTTGTTCCACTGATTCTCACTGTCAGGAAATTTCTCCTTTGTTCTAAGTTGCTTCTCTCCTTGATTAGTTTCCACCCATTGCTTCTTGTCCTGCCTGAAGGAGTTTTGGAGAATATCATGACTCCCTCTTCTTTGGGGCAACCCCTGAGATATCGGAAGACTGCTCTCCTGTCTCCCCTGGTCCTTCTCTTCATTAAACTGGTTCCTGCAACCGTTCTTCGTGTGTTTTATCCTCCAGTCCCCTAAAATCCTCTTTCTTGCTCTTCTCTGCACTCTTTCTAGAGTCTCCGCATCTTGGCAACCAAAACCGGACGCCGTATTCCAAGCGTGGCCTTACCCAAGATATCGCTGTCCCCTTGGTGGCCAGGTTTGGTGGCCACAGTCTCCACGTCAATGGAGACGGGATGCCCAGAAGACCAGCGGTTACTTCCAGATGTCCTGCAAAAGCCCGAGGAAGCTCGCGCGAGTCCTTATCGTGTCCTTATCACTTGAGAGTGGCAATTAAAGGAAACTGCAGGGTTGAAGTGGCAGGAAAATAAACATCAGTGGCAACGCCAGGTCCAGAGTCCAGGCCTTGGATGTGACATGGCTTTTGTGCTGTGGTCCTCAGCATCACCTGAGGATGTCATAAAGGTCTCGGCGTTGCCCCGTCAACTCAAAACGAGACGGGAGGCTCTTGGAATGCTGAAAATGGAATCTGACCCTCGTTGCTCCGTCCAAGGAAGGGGTTAACTTTATTGCTGTAGGAGGGAATTGAATGCAGATCATATTCTTCAACACTATTCTATAGAATAGTTGGAAGGGACCTTGGAGGTCTTCTAGTCCAACCCCCTGCTTAGGCAGGAAACTCTACACCACTTCAGACAAATGGTTATCCAGCATCTTCTTAAAAAGTTCCAATGTTGGAGCATTCACAACTTCTGGAGGTAAGTTGTTCCACTGATTAATGGTTCTAATTATCAGGAAATTCCTCCTCAGTTCTAAGTTGCTTCTCTCCTTGATTAGTTTCCACCCATTGCTTCTTGTTCTACCCTCTAGCCTGGCCATATTCAAAAGAAGGACTAGGGGAGACATGATAACAGTCTTCCAATATCTCAGGGGCTGCCCCAAAGAAGAGGGAGTCAAGCT